GCTCATCTTCTCCTGGCGGCCCGGCTCGTCCTTGGCGGGCACCAGGACGCCCGCGATGCAGCTGGTGCCCTCCAGGTAGCGCTTGACCGAGTCCATCTCTGTCACCTCCTGCAGGGTCTTGGTGCCCTGGGCCAGGGCCCGCAGGGTGTCGGGGCCCAGGATCCCGGACGTGTGCAGCTCGGAGGCGGACACCTGGCGCCTCAGGCCACGGAAGGACACCTTGCTGAGCCGCTCCTCGGCCTCCTCGATGATCCGGGTGAGGACGGCGACGAGGTCAGGCAGGCTCAGGGCGCCGGCCGCGTGCTGGGCCAGGAGCTCGTCTCTGCGGGCCTCGCTCAGGTACGAGGAGAAGAGGACGTCCCACACGGAGACCGGCCGCCCCTGGAACTGCCCGTGCTGCACCTCCATGGTGGCGCCCCGCAGGGTCTGCTCCTGGCGGCGGGCGGCCTCGGCCTTGTCCGGGGAGCGCCCGGACTCACCGTCCCCTTGCCCGGCTGGCCCCGGGTCCCGAGGGCCACGCGAGGCGTCCTGGCGCTCCTGCCCGCCTCCGGGGGTCTCCTCGGCCTCCTCGATGATGGCGGTCAGCCGGCGGGTCAGCGCGGGCAAGGCCAGCGTCCCCGAGCCAAACTGGGCCAGCAGCTCCTCCCGGGCGGCCCCGCTCACGTAGCCGGACGCCAGCACGTCCCAGACGGGCACCGCACGCCCCCGGAGGCGGCCCACCTTGACCTCCATGGTGGCCGCGCGCAGGGCCTCCCGGGGGTCTGGGGGCGGGCTCCCGGCTCCGGCCTCAGCCTCGGCCTGCGCCAGCAGCGAAATGAGGGTGGCGCCCAGCTCCTCCACGGTCAGCGTGCCCGCCCGGTACCTGCTCAGCAGGTCCTGGCGCCGGCCCTCGGACACCTCGCGGTAGAAGAGGAGCTCCCAGACCGAGACGCTCTGGCCCCGCAGGGCTCCCGAGCCCGGCGTCACGCGGGCGTCACGCAGGGCACAGCGCAGCTCCTCGCTCAGCTGGTGCACGGCGGAGCCCCGGCCGGCCAGCTGCAGCATGTAGAGCCCGGTGTCCGGGTCACGCACGCAGCGGCGCAGCAGCTGCACGTACGTGAGGTTCTCGTGCGTGTTGGGGTCGAAGAAGCCCTTGGTGTCGTCGCTGGGGTCCGCCAGGACGCGGTTCATCTCCTCGTCGAAGTAGCCGCGCCGGTAGGCCACGTCCACGGGCACGCGGTGGCTGTGCACGGGGTCGATGACGCCGCCCGTGGCGATCTGGGCCTCCAGCAGGCGGATGCCGTGCTCCCGCACGATGAGGTCCTTCTGCATGGCCTGGAAGAGGGAGATCTGCTGCCCGGTGTAGGGGTCGGTGTAGCCGGTGACGGCGCGCTCGGCCGACAGCAGCTTCTCCTGGATCTCGCCGCCCACCACGCCCGCGGCCACGGCCTCCTCCACGGACAGCCTCAGGTTGCGCACGGGGTCGATGACGAAGCCGGTGGCCGCCTGCGCCTCCAGCAGCACCAGGGCCGTGCCGGGCCGCAGCACGCCCTTCCACATGGCCTGGTAGATGCTCATCTTCTCCTGGCGGCCCGGCTCGTCCTTGGCGGGCACCAGGA